CTCCTCCAGAAACACAGGCAAATTTTGCATTCCACACTGTTGTGTATCAATGTCTTCATTTCAAATTTCTAATGGAATTTTCCTCCAAAAAGTTTCCAAAGCAAACTGATCTACAGAGAGGCTGAGTTTATTCGGGAGCTTCAGGTAAGCCCTGACTATCAGCATAGCCTCAGTTGCCTGGAAATCAGTAACCAGGAGTTCCTCAGAGTCCTGTATAACCCACATCCTGGGAGTCATGTCATGTTCCTCTCGTTCCCCATGTGAAACACATCTAACACAGAGAACTGTGTATTGTTTCCAGTGTTGGGAATTAAAAACTTAATTTAACTTTGAAAAACAAAGACTGTGGCTTACAACATGGAAAACCTTTGATACTCAGAGAAGTCAACTGCCTTCCTAGAAGTTTGCCCCACAGACATATCTGCACAGCAAGAATGGAAACCTTTAGACCAACCTGAAGGGAGTTAGTTACACCATAATGCAGTCACGTGACTGGGCTTTGTGGCAATCCTTCAGGAGAGACTACAGGGATGGGAAAACTCTCCTACAATCTCATGAGAAGTGCTGAGGGACCCACCTAAGTTGCCAGATCTCTGACCTGTATGACTATATCTGTCTTTTTTTTTTCTGTTTGGTGTGTGTGTGTGTGTGTGTGTGTGTGTGTGTGTGTGTGTGTGTGTGTGTGTGTGTGTGTGTGTGTGTTTTCCAAGACAGGGTTTCTCTATGAATACATGTTTCTTTTCTTTCTGTGGTGTGTGTGTGTGTGTGTGTGTGTGTGTGTGTGTGTGTGTGTGTGTGTGTGTGTGTGTGTGTGTGTGTTTTCCCAAGACAGGGTTTCTCTGCAGCCTTAGCAGTCCTGAAACTCACTCTGTAGACCAGACTGGCATCAAACTCAAGAGATCCACTTGCCTCTGCCTCTGCCTCTGCCTCTGCCTCCTGAGTGCTGGGATTAAAGGTGTGTGCTGTCACCACCTGGCTTGAATACATGCTTTCTAGCTCTGAGACACGACCCAAGCACACCCTGGTCACACACACATAGCTGTGACTTTAACATTGGTGTATAAAGTAAGCACAGCACTTTCAGCTTAGGGTTAGAGATGAGCTGGAGACAGACGCACATAGGAAATTCCAACCTGACCAGTCACATTTTGACATTATCCATTTCTATTCTCAGATACCAACCGCCACCCTTTGCCTAAACTATAGTCACAGGCTCACCATACCATCCATCTGAGCTTCCCTTAGAGATAAATCCTCCCCCTGGAATCTGTCTCCATGATCCCAATCCTCTACACTCTCCACACCTTTTGTCTAGACCTGGGGAGACCTGAGGTGGTGATTTACTTACCTCGTCCTGCTATCATAAGCCTTGACAAATAAAAACACCATAATATCCTAAGGAGTCTAAAAGCGACCGCACATGTACTCAGTGCCAGAGAGGTTGCTTCTCATATACAAAGCCATGGATTCAATCTCCAGGACTCCACTGCAGGAAGGAAAAAACTCTGGATTTGCTAACTTTCTGACAAACACTGGACTCAGGGAAGAAAACTACATACACTATAACAAAAAGCAGTCGTGTGGAAACAGTACAAGGAATCTTCCACTCATCCTTGAAGTTACTGCAAAGTAACCCAATGAGAAAGAAATCTTAAAATCCATGCTCATGTTCTAGGTCCACGGCAAGGAAAGAAAGAGGCATCCCCACTGCACCGAATCCAAGAAACACTGCTGTGGGACGAGGAGAAGGGTCGAATGAGACTCCTCCCCTTTTCTTTAACTGACAGCAATCTTATCTCCTACAAGGTGGCCCAACATTACATGAAGACCCACAGATTCTGGGAGATGGCATAGGCCTTGGTTCACACTCTGTAAGTCCCCTTGCAATATGTGAAACAAGTAAGTAAAAATGAAACCTGGCTCAACAGATGGTGACAAATGCTCAGAAGCCACCTGTCCAAGGAACTGCAGGGAGCCAAGACATACACCTCTAACAGAAATGACCACTTTTTGCTGCCGGCAGACACTAATACCTGGTAGATCTTAAGACCCAAAAGGAAATATTAAAACTCAAAGTTCTTGGCTACAACAATTGTACATTGATATCCAGAGATGGAAATCATTTCCTTCCTGACTCCCACTGGGCCAGGCATGCTCGGGGCAGAAGGTCTGATTCTGTGAACAAACAAAGCAACAATCCCACAGGCTAGACTACAGCTTCTCTGGGTCTCTCAAGGACTCCACATCCCAGGTCTCCACATCTACCTCCTGGCACCTCTTCCTGCTGTAGGTCTCAACATTAATGATTTTTTAAAGCCCCAAATGTAGTTTCTTTCCCGAGACTCAGGACGAGTTACTGCTCCTCTAGTCTTGGCGAGGACAGGGCCTGGGTGTGGAGAAGGATGACTGCCAAACACAAGTACTATATCCCAGGCACAGTGCTAGACTCAACCTTTACAGTGTCTTACCTCCCCTTTAACTCATTTTGAACCTCGATGGAGAAAACAATAAACAATAACCTATGAAGGGACCACACTTGACAAACTGCTACCAACAGACTCGCACAAAACAAATACAAGAGGCTGGCAAGGCAATCAGTGAGATCTAAAAATCTGAGATTAGGAAAATGAAGGCAAAGAAAGGCTAACATTCTGGCAGGCTTTCTGTTAGCCTATCCTGCCATACTCTCTACCTTTGAAGGCACTAATAGCAATGTTTGAAGCCACTCTGCCCTCAAAAGCCTATTTCTAGCTGTTATACAGCCCCAGCAGATTCAGTCAGGGCCTGGTAGAGCAGCCTTTGGAAACGGGGCACTCAGACTTTCAGATTTATTCTTGTATGCATGAAGTTGTGTCATATGCCTTTTATGTATCAGACACCTCACTAGACTATGGGACACAGACAGACACTGTCCTTCCTCTGATTGGGTATTATATTTTTAAAAAATTAATTTTTTTATTTTATGTGCATTGGTGTTCTGCCTTCATGTATGTCTATGTGAGAGAATCAGATCTTGGGAGTTACATATAGCTGTGAGCTGCCATGTGGGTCCTAGGAATTGAACCTGGGTTCTCTAGAAGAATGGTCAGTGCTCCTAACCACTGAGCCATCACTCCAGGCCTGTGGGTAATATACTCTTGAAGGTCAAGACTGTGTATGACCCAGCATCCTGCCTTTTCCAATCTCACTCTTACAAGCAGCTCTTAATGGCACATCATTTTAGTCCTCTCAGTATCTTTGCAGAGTCCAGCTGGCCAAGATCCCTTCCAGAAGACGATTCAAACCCTGAAGTGTGACACTCTCCTGAGGGCTGACATCAAGGTTTCTAGTCCTTTCTCTCCAACAGTACAATTGCTCTGAGGAGCCACATAATCTGTGCTGTGTGACTGCTATAAGGTCCAAGTAGCACAGTCTTTGGTGTGTATACTCCAAGTAGCACAGCCCCATCCTTTCAGCCCTGGTGGCAGGTTCGTCACTGTGTAGCAACTAAAGCCTTGGTGAACATGGCAGCAAGGCCCTCTCTCCTCCAAACAGGAAAGCAGATGTCTTCAGCCTGGTCACTAGGCAGCTCTCTCATCTTGAGGATGAGAAAGCTAGCACCAAAAAGGGACAGAGCAAAGAACACTACGGAGTATCGGCACTGGCATCCTGCTCAAGTTGAGCCCAAAGTCACCTCCCAGTGAACCATGTCTTCTGGGACTACAAGGTCACACTGCCACCTCATTCCAAATAGCACATGCCCTGGCCATGTCAGTGCTGCAGAAGCAGAGTCACAGTTGCACCCTAACAATCTAAGGATAACAGAAACTTCCGGGCCTCTTCCAGCTGACTCATTAAGGCAGTCTTTCCTGTTCTACCATTACAACATAGAGTTCATTAAATACAAGTTCAAGGCTACCACAATTTCATTTTACACACTGAGAAACTCAAAAGGTGAAGCAGGTAACAAAGCTTCCCATTGATGCTATAACCATAACCTGGGGATGGGGGTGGGATATTCAAGTCCATGTTTGAGAGTTTAATAAATACTGCAAAGTCATAGCCAAAGAGCACCGGTTACCTATGCTACAGAGACCAACCACCCAATGAAAGTAATGGAACAACAATTAAGAAAACAGGATGACAAAACACAAGGATGAAGTCACTTGCAATCACAACAGCATTCAGTGTGTTTTGAAGAACTCCACAACACTTGGCGTGAGGTATATCGTCCTGTAGTTTAATGCCAATCCTTACATTAGATAGGGACTGAGCCTCATCATGGAGACCACAGAAACTAGAGTCAGTAGACGCAAGAATCCCCCAACTACTTTCCCTCAGCATGTCACCAAGGCACCGGCAGGTCACACCATACGGATGATTCTTTGTGACACATCCATCATACCTAGCTGCCTGTGAAATAGAGACCCACCGCAAGATGACACATCTGGTCACCTTTCCAACAGACAACAACAAAATCCACACGCAACTGTCACTGCCACACCAGCAGGCCATTAAAACAGAGGCCCCCATGCTCTGCCAAGGCTAAATTAGCCCTTGCCACCTCCAAAGGTTGATGGGAAAATAAAATGAGGTTGCAAAAGAAAAAGGCACATCACACAGGAGTAAACAAGAAACATCTGATTGTTTCCTGTCATCCTCATGTCAAGTCTCTCAATTTCGATGACACTCCACTTCTTGCCAAAGGAAAAAGAAGGGAGGCACACGATTACTGGCAAGATGACATTGTTGTCACTGAGTTTTCCTCCAGTGTCTCTGCATGCCACCTTGCCAGAGGTGAAGCCCACCTTCGCTTTGCCACATATTTTATTGGCATTGTTATATCTAGTCTGTTGCCATGAAACCAATTCAAAACAATAATAATAATAATAATAATAATAAATGAACATTTTAGACTTCTCAAGTTCTCAATTCTTGTTTCCAGCACCCATTATTTTTAAAAACTAACTAAAGCATATATATTCTATTAAAGAAGAAGCATATTTGTGTGTAGGACTCACCAGCTGAGGGAAAATATCTCCCTCCACAGAAGAAACAGTGAACGATGGCAAATGCAGAACTGGCTGACTCGTTATCTCTGCTTCTGTCCTGAGTTCCCAACTGTGGAAAACAGAGAGGAATGTTTGAGTCTCTCAGCTCCAACCATCTTCAGAACTTCCCAGGTGGGCAATGTCTCTGGTCAGACCTTATGGAATGATGTCTGACTGGCTTCTAGATCTCTCAACCCTCCAGTCAGTACCTGGTACTCTTGTTTGGTAAGTTTGTCCCACAGGAAGGGGGAAGAGAATGGTCTCATTCTCAACACTCCTGGAGAACAGACTCATCTAAATAATGGAAGGATGAGACAGATCAAGCAGATGCAACTAAGAAAGAAAAAAAAAATACAGCCTAGTGGCCATCCGAATTTCAATTTCCTTCCCTGTTAAATGAGAACTAGTGATCCACAGAGAGCTGCAAAGCCTTAGTGCTCCCCGGTAAGTCCTCAATAAAGACTTAAATCATCAAAAACTATGGCTCTTTTCTCGGGATTACACAATGTATATCCCAGGGCAGCAGACTAATATAAAACTTGTCCATGGTACATGGAATTGAAACACACAGGCCAGAAAAACTCCATCCTCATTCTTATCGCATCTTTGAGCACCTTCTTAACCAATCATATAATTGCTCCAAGTCAGTCTTCCCATTCATGTATAAGCCTAGAGTTGGAAGGGGACCCTTAAAGTGAATTCCTCAATTCTTCCACAACAGGAGAGCCTGGCACCAGGACAGGGGAGTAGCCATCCAAGAAACTATCACTAGTGAGTGACAAGGGACTTAGGGCTTGATCCACTACATCTACTTACTGCCCATCTTTAACACAGACTAACTAGGGCAGGGGCCTGCTTTGTGTTTTTATACGCTCTAGTACACCTCAACAACAGAAAGAAATTCCATAAGGAAAATGGAGTCCACTCGAGATGAGTCCACTGAAGCATTCATTCCTGAGAGTTTGAGGTCTTCAGAATATTGAAAATCTCCAAAGTCACTTTTACCAGAGGTACAACTTCAAATTTGCTGAGGCACTGATTGGTCAGAGGCCAACTTGAGAGCTATGAACAGGGCAATCTGATAGAAGAAAAAGATATCCCCAAACCCCATAAAACCAAAGCCCCCTATGCAGAGCAGGGGTTGGGGAGAGAAACACAAAACAGTGTCTATGAGAGACAAAGGGCTTCTGACTCCCCACATTTCTAAGCCTCAATACAAGATGCAGCTCCCCATCTACCCTTGGCCCTGGAGGAGGCACGTTCATTCTCGATTCCTTCTATGTGCCAGTGTAATGGCCTCCCTTTCCCAACCTCTCTTTTAATAATTTCCTTCTTCTCTACCATAAAGAGAACAAGCAGCTTTGCTAAAGAACTGCTGTGAAATGATTGAAGTTCCCATGCAAACAAACCATTAGCAGAGTTCAAATGCAATTTAAATTACCAGTTGTTAAAGTGCTCCTCAATTTCGCAGTAAGTTTCCAAGGAGAATTATATGCTATATACTATTTAATTGGTTGTTTTCTATTTTTTAACATCCTTTTATTCCCTCCACCCTTATATTTCAGAAGTGTCTATAAGAACTTCCCTTTAAAAAAATTACACATTGTTGAAGAGATGAAATGTAAAGATTGAAAAGTATCAGAGAAACAGCAGCAGGAATATGCAGCTCAGCAGAAACTGATGGCTTGGAGACTTCAAAAAATTGTAGAATTTTAAAACCTTACAAATCACCAACAGTGCCCACACTCTTGCCGGATGAATCCACTAAGGCCTTGGGAGTGGAAGGAGGGCTCGGTAGGTCTGAAACCCCCTCCCTGGAGAGTGATACACTCAAGAGAGACCTCAGGCTCCCAATTTTTCACATGGGGTCCATAAGTTCCCCAAGACAGTGAGAAATACTAGTGAATTTGACTCGCCACTTATATGTTTTAAAAGAAAATACAGAGCCCTCTACACATAGTTTCCTAGCTTCAAAGCGGAAATAGGAAGTGTCTCCCCAAAAGGGAGGAAGAGAAGCAAGGACTGAAGAATGGCTGCGAAAAAGCAAGGAAAAAGAACATTCTCAGTGGCGGCGAAAGCTAAGAACTCATCTAAACTCCTCACGGGCAAAGGGGCTTCAGGACTGTGGATTGCCATGGCTGTATCTGGCCCTAAGCCAGCCGCTGCCATGGTGAAAGAGAATAAACAAGGCCAGGCAGGACACGGCACTGTGTGTAGATAGAAGGGTTTCTAAAGGCCATCAGGAACACAGTTCCAAATCCTGGGCTTGTGTAAATAATGTTAACCTCTTCAAGCTCAAGTTTTCTGTCAGCAAAACAGGGCCCATACCACCTGCCCTCCAGGGTGTGTAGACGACCATTTCCTGGAGATCTGCATCCAGCATATGCACTACAGAGACCACACAATGTGCATTAATGCGTGCTCACTTCTTTCCAAGGTTTCTATCATTTCTCAATGGCCATGGATCTACAGATACAAATGATTTGGATTAAAAACTTCACATAAATCATCTGTATTCTCTAAGATATGTGATGCTCCCTCAAAGTAAGTTCATTTATGTTATCAGTTTCAAAAATAAAATACTCATGAACACTTTACATGCATTTTCTGTCTAATGCAAACTGTTTAAAAATGCTACTTTAAAAATATCTCCAAACCTAATTTTTTTTTTTGTTGGTGCTGTTGTTGTTTTGTTTTTTGAGACAAGGTTTCTCTGTGTAGCCCTAGCTCTGGCCTTGAGCTCAGAGATCCGCCTGACTCGGCCTCCATGGTACTGGGATTAAAGTCGTACCCCCAACACTGTCAGGCTCAAACCTAATTTTTAATCACACATTAATCAGCTTTACATTTGAAATCTTATTTATACTCTATCAATACTGAGAAAGAGTTTCTACTTACACATAGAGGAACCTGAGGATTGGAATGTGCAACAAAGGTTACCAGTACCAGTCTTGAACCAAAGTCTTCAAAAACCAAGCTCTGTGACAAAGGTTTTATCAATTATAGTCACAAATGGAAGATGGACATTTATTCTTCTCAGGGCAGAAATATACCTTTAAAAAAATGCCATTTTCACACTTCAAATTGCTTTGGTATAAAAATAATGGCTGCATTTTTAATAAAGAAATGTTCATGTAAGAAACCTGCAAATCTGTTGTCTATTCTACTTTGTTGTAAGTTCTTAAGGAAAAGCTCAGAGACCTGGCATTAGTCAGACAGAATATTCTTGAGAAAGGATAGTCACGACATACCATAAGATCAATTCTAAAAGAGATTTCAAATAGCTGTGTTCTTGATCAAACAAATCCTGAGTACCCCTGGTGTTGGCTTCTGAGACCCTCTGGGGTAGCTCTTAGCTGACATGATGCCATATTCCCTGCAGTCAGCATACTGAAAACAGAAGCTCACCTCTAGTGGGGCTTTGATAAAGCAGTGTGGACCTAGGAGTCATAGGGAACAAACTGTGTCTAGATTCCCAAAGATCTCACAGCCTCTCTGTGGGGATGCTGGGACCTGGAATGCACAAGACTGGGTGAGAAGACTACAAAAGTAAGTCCGTGCTGTGCCATGTTCTGCAGAGGGTCTGGAAGGCCTCTGCAGAGGCTGTGACGTCTCAAGGAAGCCTTAAACTCAAGAGGACTTCCACATTCAAGGAAGAAAATGGGCAAGGAACCAATGTGCACAGACCTTGAGGAGCCCAGGGTACTCGCAGATACCATTGTGAGACCAGCAGCACAGAGCTAAAGGTGGGACATGAAACTACAGAGGGACTTAGAGCCAGAACATGGAGGACTTGGAATCCTGGCCTAAAGCACTTGAACTGTAAGACTCATGGTGGGCACTGCATTTGAGAGAATGATACAAGAAAAAGCTAAACAGCTGAACCATCATGTTAATATGGAGTTCCCTTCCATAAAACAGCAAGATGTGAACATGTAAGGGATTGTCCCAGAGGAGAATGGTTTCTGAGTGGACTCTAATCCACAGCTCCACTCTCCCTTCCTTCTAACTCTGCAACTCATACAGGAAAGAAACGAGGTCATGCCCCAAGTAAGACCCCCAGGTTGCCACGAGGGACAGCCAGCACTGAGCTCCTGACAGGCTGAGCTCTAGATGCTTCACTATCTCTCAGGAAGCAGGATCCCATTAGACTCATCCCCATGTGTGCTGAGAACCCCACAACAGAAAGATGCTTCCTGGCCAGCCCAGTACAACAAAGTAGAACCTTCAGTTGACAATGCCCTAGCCAGAGGTGCTCAATTAGAATGTATGGAACTGCCTGAGCCCTGGCAGCAATTCCGCACGTCCACAGACCCAGGAAGACGACATACTAACTCTCTGCCCTTACAGTAGAGGGTAAGAGCTGAGGAAGATATCTAGGTCAAGACACAAGTCCCAGAACCCACTATGACATGGGGTGATCACTTACCTACACCCATCTAATGAAAAAGCAATTGAGTCATGTGTTTCCCACACTTCCCGCCTCACAGCGAGCAAGTGCCCCAGCCAGGAGCCAAGTGTGGATCTTGTGCTTCTAAGTGTGAGGAGGTATACTCAGCTGCCTGGCAGCTCCCTGGTGCAGGTTTACACAATAGCATCTCCTCTAGGACAAAGTGGGAGCAGATGGTGACTGAGATTAACTCCTCTATAAGACAACAGGAGTTCTACAGATAAAGGGAAGTGAGGTCATCCCACTTCTAAAGGATCTATGAGAGCAGAACATGAAAGCAAGCAGGATAGCTGGGGGGAGGCAGAGAATGGGCTGAGAGAGCAGGGGTATCGCTGGAGTCTATGGTGGACACATACTTGATTCTGACTTTGGGAAGTGCTCGATGCTAGGGACTGTGCCTACTAGAAAATTACACATTTCAATAGAACTATGGCACGGTTTCAGCGTTCCTTGGGATTTCATGTTCCAAAGCTGGGGCCAACCAAATAGTCTTTCAGGATCTGGGCCAAGAAACCAAATGGGCCCTTGGGTTTCTTTGGACCAATGTAGAAAAGGATGCTGTATGCAGCTTTGACATTAGGGGCAGGAACATCCTGACTTTGAAAAAAGGCACTAGTAAA